ATATATATACAGGTATATAATTGTTATGATAAACCAAACACTTCTACTCGAGCTTGATTTTATTTTTGTTCGTTTCTTTTTAATAAAAATATTGTTTAGTACAGCCCTAGGTTTTAGTGTTCTAAGTTTATCATCTAAAACGATTTGAAACTATTTTTTTATACACGTGTAGCAGGTCACGTAATACGTCAGTAAAAGTAAAAGAAATACAGTAATACTATATACTTGCATTACACTATGTAAGTGTTCAAATTACAGTTTAATTATAGAAGGCTAATTTATGGAAGCCAAAAATCCCTTGAACTATAGTTATTCTGTTGTACATATCAGAGTCTGATAAAAATCGATGACAAGATCAGCACCATTAACATTTACTATTGTTCATTTAACGTTAATTTAAATTAATTAGATACTAAGATATTAAAAATGTAATGGTTTTTTTTTTAATTTAATACTTATAATTTTCTTTTAGATTTGATTCCTAGATTTATTGCGACGCAATTGAAATAGTAGAAACATAAAGGGATGAAATGACAGATATACATTATTTTAAACTGCAGCTTTGTAGATGTATTACTATACTAAGGTAGACCGCTGTAAGTCGACCCCTGACATACCAGGTGGTGTAATGTACCAGGTGAGGAAACAAACACCTGACGGAAACCCACGGGTCTAGAGACTGACACTATGGTTGAGTGAAATGTTACATTCTTTATCAATTTCTGGTCTGTCTGGCTAACGAACATCACGTTATGGTCTGTCTGGCTAACTAACATCACATTATGTTCTGTCTGGCTAACTAACATCACGTTATGGTCTGTCTGGCTAACGAACATCACGTTATGGTCTGTCTGGCTAACGAACATCACGTTATGGTCTGTCTGGCTAACGAACATCACGTTATGGTCAGTCTGGCTAACGAACATCACGTTATGGTCTGTCTGGCTAACGAACATCACGTTATGGTCAGTCTGGCTAACGAACATCACGTTATGGTCTGTCTGTGTAAGAGAATGACAGAGATTTGTAAGGCGTGGAGATGGGGGAAGGAAAGGGTGTAGTGTAGAGATCGGTTAGCATCTTAATAAGCAACAACTAGAAAACAAACATGCATCTAGATTTTATTAAAAAATTGTTCCAAGATTTTAATTGTTTATCAAACAATAACTAATATCATTTGTGATTTCTACTCTGATAAATGCATTGTAAAATTATTTAGTTTTTCTGTTAACAAAAGAAAAAAAATAGTTGCCTAATAGCTAAGATATTTTATTTATCTAAATAATGTTTTTTTCCTAAAGGTAAATGATGATTAAAATGTGATGTCAAATTACATTGTCATCAATCCTTGTATTATATTGGTGCAGGACTAAATCGCAGCTACTCCCGATGTGTGCTATAGTTACTTTTAAACTAAATTATTATTTTTTTAACATTATCCATTTTTAATTTAAAACTGCAGTTTTTTACCCCTCTTTGCTCTGTCGGCAGGGCCCACCCCCCCCCCCCCCCCAACTAGCCCTTCCTGCCCCTACATTTAGTTTCCCCCCTGTCGCCGATAAAAGTATAAAAGTAAGCATATTACATAATCATTTATCTACAGAATGATAACTTTCAGTCATTTCTTTTTTAATCCTTGCAAATATTGCGGTTTTTCTATACGTCTAAAGAATTTTTGATTAATTTTTAAGTATCAACGTTTGAAAGATAATAGTAATAGATGTTAATTGATTTTAATCAGTAAAGTAATTTAATTCTGTTGTTTGAATCATGAGGTTATAATAATTTTATCGTTACACCGTGTTACACTCGGCTACCTATGTATTTTTGGCTCTTTGGGCCAGGTGTAACAATTATAAATACATTCCACAACGAGAATCTGTATCATGGGCGTATAAATATCATCAATCACAAGAAAACATGATAAGAAGATAAACTGACGAGTAGGTACACGATGTTGACACCACACCACATTGTTTCACATACCGCCTCATTCACACACTTTGTCCCGTTAGCACACCCCTTTCAAGGGGAGGCTACTCTCACACTCACTTCGTGCCTACACATTTTCTTTTAGACAATCCACGTCACACACCGCATTTATCAACAACCAGAAAATCTACATTTATATTGTTCAACTGTTAGGAGGGTTACACCCACTTCTCTCCCGTCATATGCTATGCGCCCTATTGCACGCAAAAATTGCATGCAGCTTTCTTTTATTTCTGAGTATTCTTTCATAGCCTGTGTCCTTCCAAAAATAACGTATAAGGCAGCAGTTGTTTTATTTGAGTGTTCTCTGCTAGATGTCCACAGCTAACGAGCCTAATCTGGCATAGGGACTGAACTCGCGACTTTAGTGATGCAATACTCAGCTCTTTTACATGAACACGGGGATAAAGACGTGGCGGTGTGACGTCATTGACACTATAGACATGGCGTCGTTAACCTAAATATCTTTGTATTTGGTATAGCATTAATATTATAATTAAAATATGAATAAACAGACAAACATGATTCATATTTGCAGCTAGACTCAACTAGACACATGGGTAGTCTAGATCAGGGGTCTCCAGATGCGGCCCGTAAGGTCCTCTTTTCCGGCCCGGCGGAGATCTTTTTGTCCACGGAAAAAAATGTTTGTTAGAAGTGGCTGAGGAACTTTGCCCAGAAAATTCAAAACAATTTGAAATGTAGCTTTGTGTACAAATACCTTTGCCCACCGTGTTGCAGATATTAGTGAAAACATCGTGATTCAAAAAGCGAAAAATGCAAGCACGTTTCACTATTTTTTAATTGCAATGGATGAGCCGCTGGACAACTGTTCCACCTCTTAACTACTAGTGTTCATTAGGGGTGTGGATGAAGACATGAACATAACACAAGAGCTGGCTTCCTTACATAATATGTATGGCACTGTTACCGGAGAGGATATATTCAATGAGTAAAAGAAAACATTTGCTGATTATAACTTGGACTGGACTAACCTCAGTTACCTGACTGTTGGTGGGGAAAAGTACATTAGTGGCATAAAGAAAGGCTTGGTTGGACAAGCAAATGAGAAAAATTTTCTACAACCAATGCTCCTGCGCTCTATTAATATTATTCATCAGCAAGCTTTGAGTGCTAAATATATGGACTTAGCAGTGTACTGAATCCTGTGGTGAAGATGGCGAATTTAATAAGGTCACATGGGCTCAACAATAGATATAGAATACGTGAAGAATAATTTAAGATCAAACTTGGACCTCGAGTGTGATGTCGGCCCCTGACAGTGTTTCTTTCATTCTTTCAGATTTTTTCTCTGTCGGGGGGGGGGCACTTGAAATGTGTATATATTTCTATATAAATTATATTTTATTGGGGGGGGGGGGGGGGGGGAGGCGGGGGGCGGTGGACGTTTTTCGGGGGGGGGGGGGCTCCATAACACCGAAGATATGCCTTGAAGATACTCTGGCCCCCGAAATGATCTTTGATAGCCAATGCGGCCCTCGGTCTGAAAAGCTAGGAGACCTCTGGTCTAGATTAAAGTAGACAGGTCAATGCTACTTCATTTGGCTGTAGACTTGATTTCACTTCAGCTGAGTTATTTGTCTTTATTGAGCTCTGTGGCGAACAGATGTACACGTTAAGGGTGAATCATCTTCTTAACCGTAATGAGTGATGTTAGATGTGTGAAACCGTGTAGGCCTACAGTGATATGTTTTTTATTAAAAAGAAACGAACAAAAATAAAATCAAGCTCGAGTAGAAGTGTTTGGTTTATCATAACAATTATATACATGTATATATATATATATATATATATATATATATATATATATATATATATATATATATATATATATATATATATATATATATATATAGATATAGATATAGATATATATATATATATATATATATATATATATATATATATATATATATATATACATATATTTTTTTATTTATGAGTATAAATTGTGATTTTTCAATTCATATTATATAGAGTTTGTATGGACTATTTGTGTGTGTATATATATGTATGTGTCTGTGTTTATGTGTGTGTTGGGTAAGTGTTAATTCTCATACTGATTAAAAAAAAACAAGAAAGGTTTTTGTATCGAGAAAAACTATTTTTTTATTTTGTACTTTGAATCAAACTAACAGTTACTGGCAGTAGGCCTATTTTTCAAAATATTTACAAACGAATAACATGTATTATTTTTATTAATATATCTGACATATTTCGTTTTTCTTGAAAATGCGGATTTCAATGTCGTATTTTACATATAAAATACTAATTTTTATTTTAGCAAAAAAAAAAAAGGTCCACAAAAATTTCTTATACATAAAAACAAAAGATATTTAAAAATAGTGTTATCATATATGTTTCTTGTAGTCAAGTAGAACATATAAATTGGTGATCACAATGAATTATTTGGAAATGTGTTATGATGGCTAAACAAATAATACATAAACGATTATAGTTTATGCAGACACATAAACCATTCACATTTTTGTAGACAAGTAGTCTATACACATAGTAGTAATTAAAAAAAAACAACAACAGATAAACCATTCACATTTTCGTAGACATGTAGTCTACACATATTTTAAGTTGTTAGCGTGTGTTAGACATGGTGGTTACATATTTTATTGTTTTGAGAATTTCCAATCCACCATGTTTTGTGTTGTACTTCTATAAACTAACGATAGTAAAACTACTAAATCTGGATAACTTTGCGTCTTGATCTGCGTGATACACTTTAAGGTAAAGTTCTTGACCTTTCTTCATGTCAACAACCACTGACCCAGTAGCGCTAGTGTCGGCACATTTCACTTCTATAGACTTACACCACCTGACACCAGCCATCACAGCAACTCTAATCCGTTTATCTTCACATTCATGTAGAGTGACACAAACAAGGTATAAACCATCATGTGGTGATACGAATGTCCCTGTAGTTTGGTTGAAGTGTTGACCATTAAATTCACTTACTAAACAAAATTTTGAAATTATTGATCCCTTATTGACAGGTATCTGATGAGCAAGCTGTACATGACATGCATATCGTTTACATACACGTGACTCTGTTGATTAGAAAACATATTTATGATGTACATGTTCACTTTAGGACTATTGCTTGGACTTGTTAATCCATAACATGTGCATTGACTTACAATTAGTGTATGAAAATAACCCTATACATAAACAATATATATATATATATATATATATATATATATATATATATATATATATATATATATATATATATATATATATATATATATATGAAATTAAGATGTTAATCAATGTAAAAAATTATAAATGTTTTCATGTTGATATTTTATTTTAGATTTAATCTCTGGTTCGTATATGACTTGATATTAAAAATATAAAGGGATGATGTGTCGTTAATTTGAAATTATTTAATTCGTTTTTAATTTTAAACTGCAGCTCTGTAAATGTCTTAATGTAATTGGTTCTACCCCGACATACCAGGTGGTGTAATGTACCAGGTGAGGAAACAAACACCTGACGGAAACCCACGGGTCTAGAGACTGGCACTATGGGTGAGTGAAATGTTACATTCTTTATCACGTTATGGTCTGTCTGGCTAACGAACATCACGTGATTGTCTGTCTAGCTAACGAACATCACGTTATGGTCTGTTTGTCTAACGAACATAACGTTATGGTCTGCCATATAAGAGAATGACTGACATTTGCATGGCGGGAGGGAGGCGGCAAGAGAGGATGGAGAGATATTGAATAGAGGTAGCAAAAATAATAAACTGAATACAGATAGGTTAGCATCGATTACTCTACGTCGAAGTTATAGTTCTGTGACATTATCACCAGAAATAAAGTATGCTTAACGTTAAATCATTATTGTTTAAAGATAATTCTTTATTAATTTTTTTTAAAGCACACTTACCCATCGTATGAAATTCTTTAGACAGCTTTGAAATAGTATTTTCAATATTGTGAAGCTAAATTAAAATACAATTTAAAGTATATAAATGTAACACTCACATAGTTACGAAGAACATACAATAGATTCGCTGACAATAATTGGAAATGGCAACGTATAAGAATAATTTTAATTTATAATACAAAAAACTATGTCAAAAATAAAATGTATTAATGAAAACAGATTGATATTGACTGGACTAATAAAAGAGTGTTAGTGATTAATGCAGTTCTTCATTAATTTTTCAATTATTTATTTTTATAAACTTATCACAGGCATACCTTATTTATTCTTTCTTCCCTAGTTTCCAAGTTCTGGTTAAATATTTGAAAGAGTTTGTCGATAGGCATCAATCTTTGTTGCAGGAGTTTGTACATCACACTGTGCTAAAAAGATTATTACACATTTGACTATTTCTATTGCAGATTAAAATTGCAGACTTAAAAAAGTCTGCCTTAAAATTACTTTCAAAATAAAAAGTATTTCTTGTGGAAAAACTAATCAACTGGCTTTTAATTAGATGTTACAACTTGGTTATAAAATGTAGAGTAAGTAAACTGGCAAATAGGTGTATAACTGTGTACCTAATTAATTAGCAAATTTAATTGTTTATCTACCTTTGATTGCACTTTCTCAAGTTTGGTTCTTGTATCGACAAAGATTTTATTATTTTCATCGTGTAAAGAAACAATCTGATCAGAATGTCTTTTAATTTCTTGTGCTATACAGTCAGTTTTATCTGTATGATCTTCCAGCATTTTATTTATCTTGAGTAAGTCGTTTCCATATTCTTTCAAATCAAGAGACAGTATCTCTAGTGATTTATTTGACTTGGTTTCTTTTTCTTTTAAACTTTCAATTTCTGTTTTCAGCTCCTTTACTTTATTTTCTTGTTCACTCATTTGTTTTCTGAGATTTTTAAAATTCTGTTTATGTTTTTTAGTCAGTTGTTCAATGTTTACCCCCATGTCACTCTGTTCTGCTACAAAGTTGTCTCTCCATTGTTTTATTTCTGATATGTCATCTGCAGACTTGTCATTGACATCTTGTAGAGAAGATATGGCTGTCTCTATCTGCTCAAGTCGACTGACGTCTTGTAGAGAAGATATGGTTGTCTCTATCTGCTCAAGTCGACTGACGTCTTGTAGAGAAGTTATGGCTGTCTCTATCTGCTCAAGTCGACTGACGTCTTGTAGAGAAGATATGGCTGTCTCTATCTGCTGAAGTCGACTGACGTCTTGTAGAGAAGATATGGCTGTCTCTATCTGCTCAAGTCGACTGACGTCTTGTAGAGAAGATATGGCTGTCTCTATCTGCTCAAGTCGACTGACGTCTTGTAGAGAAGATATGGCTGTCTCTATCTGCTCAAGTCGACTGACGTCTTGTAGAGAAGATATGGCTGTCTCTATCTGCTCAAGTCGACTGACGTCTTGTAGAGAAGATATGGCTGTCTCTATCTGCTCAAGTCGACTGACGTCTTGTAGAGAAGATATGGCTGTCTCTATCTGCTCAAGTCGACTGACGTCTTGTAGAGAAGATATGGCTGTCTCTATCTGCTCAAGTCGACTGACGTCTTGCAGAGAAGATATGGCTGTCTCTATCTGCTCAAGTCGACTCATTATTTCTAATGCAATAAAAACGCAAAAATAATTATTCGAAGTATTAATTATGTCTAGTAGAAGAAATAAGGCATACACTTTTACATTTTATGTTTTACAATTAATTGTTTTGTTTCAAAATGGTTTATACCCGCTGTTGATTGTTTAGTGACTTGATGATTTGATTCACTAATGTCACGTTTATCTGCTGCTGTAGTCTGTGGTGTAGACTGGGGTAATGATGGCGTATATTCCTCGTAATCTACGTAGTCTTTATTTTCATCTAGGTAATGTAAATGAATAAAAATAATATGTCATTACATAATGTGATAATGGGATATGTATTGTTTAATATTTGTGTCAATTTCTTTCATGTTTCAAATCTTAATTTTTTTTTATGTTAGGTATATTTTTTTACGTTCGTTGTTTGCTTTCATTAGGCTAGTAGTAGATGGATTTAATAGAGATTTACAACTCTCACATTATTATAATTATAGAAACATGTACTTATGATTGATGATGCCGCATTCAACAAACTCAAAGTAGCTGTGTCTAGCTCTTGATGTATATCTATGTAGGTGAAGGAGGGATGTTCATTTTTATCCTCTTCTATCCAAGTCTTACTTTTTTGTACAGCCTTGTAAAAAATTATATGATTTTTTTAAATGAAACGTGTTAAGCGTTTAATATTCTTCTATGTATTCATTAATCAATAACAACATTAATGATTCATTACCTGTTTCATAACATCCAAGACAGGTTCCAGAACTTGTATCTGTTCTTCCAAATATTTCTTATGCCGCGCAACAAGTTCAATTTGAATCCTGGGTCGCATCTAAAAAAAAAAAATTAAAATATTTGGTCGCGGTATAGACTAATTAAATTGATTAACCAGAAAAATTTAAAAACAATTTAAAAAATAGAAACGTTAAGAAAACGTTTATAGCTTAAGTCTCCGTAGATTAGATTTGATAGCAGTATTATTCAGAAAACTGCAATATTTTGTCAAAGGCTTTCTCACTCAAGTCCCCCGAAAAAATTCTACCGCTCCCCCCCCCCCCCCCCCACGAACTAAATGAAATTTATATAATTTATATAGAAAATATATACTTTTAACGGTGCCCCCCCCCCCCGAAGAAAGTCTACCGCCCCCCAAAAATTTCAAGTGCTCCCCCGAAGAAAAAGGTCTGGAAGGAACACTGATTAAATATCTGTCAAGACGTTTAAACGTCTTATTCTATCGCAAGTTTTTCTTTGATAATCATTTTTAACTTACTACATGAAATTTCACTCTTTACTAAATAAATGTAGGCAAGTAGGCCTATTTAATAAAATTTAAAAAAGATCTAACGGGAAAACCCGATGTTATAAAAACGCCTTTGCTAAAGTAATAAAGATGGCGACAAGAGACGACACGTACTAGAGATAGTAGATTGCCTCCAACTTTAACAAATTTAAATGATTAAAAAATCACACCTGTTTATCCGTAGCACTTAGAATGTCATATTTATGTCTATCTCAAACTAAGTAAAATTTAATGTATATTTTAAATTAACTTAAACAAATATTACTTTATATTTAATAAAAGACTAATTAAAGACAAATAGTTTAAATAAAATGTGCAGCTTATTCAGCATACGTTTCGTGTTTATTGTTGTCGTTACTGTGTAAGGATGAATTTGATTGTATGTAAATTGTATGTTTACACTTACTTTATAACTTTTGGAATATGTTTAGCTTGCAGTAAAACCGGTCTTGTCTTAAGAGTTCTGAGGCCCTTCCATAGCTGCCAAGTTCATCCGTTAAAGTTAAAGTTCAAATAGGGAAATCCCGATATTACCTTATATGTGACGTCACCTTACAAGGGACAAAACTGTTGCTTCTCTAGTTTGTGAACATATGTATTTAGGTAACTTAACATTTTTTTTTCTTTGTGGTGAACAGAACATCTCCTGTTATATAGATCTACAGTCGTCAAAAGGTTATTAAACTTTTTCGGATTGGAATTTGTGTTGGGTACAAAATAAAGTCCAGCAAAATGTCAGACTTAAAATCTATTGTAAGGATGTTGTTTTATGGTAGTGCTGTCTTCAATAATATTATTTTTCCATGAATGGTTGAGAAATGTGTTAAAATATCCTATAAATAATCAAGATTCTTGTATATCAAGGCTTGCTTTGAAATATACTTTGACCATAGAAAATAGTTAACCTGTTGTGACCTACTTAGGTCTAGTAATGTTTTATTTTGACATTGTTATAATACCATATATGGTCGATGGTGCAACAACCGGGTTTTTCCCGCTGTCTTACTAAGAGAGTCTAAGACTCAGAAATTTTCCATCAAGATCTGATTGATTGATTCAGACCAGATGACCACCCCAACCAATGGCCACATGAGTTGAGGGTAACCTCCCATGTTGCCTAAGTCTATAACTAGATCGCCCACAGGCGGCACGAGGCAGTCCGTTCTGACCAGGCAGTCCATTAGAACCAAGCCGTCCATTTTGACCGGCAGTCCATTCTGACCATTTGAACGTGAGAGAGCTTAAGTCCTGAGTGTGCTATGCATTCTTAAGTTGTTCAAGTATTCTAGTATTATATTACTTGTGGCCAAGTGATTCTTGATGCTATAGCAGTGTTATGTGACCTGTGGCTATTTTTATAAAGTGTTAGAATCTGTGATAGTATTTTTTCTTACGCTTTGTAAGTTGGGTTTTGTTATTTTCTAAACTAAATATTTTATCTTGTTTAACCTTGTGTTCTGCCACAACTGTGTTCACTTATTAAAGGTTGTATGCAGATTGAATGAGTTGTTAACTTCAATAGTTTCACTAGTTTTCCCTAGACCTCAAAATCGAGCCCTAGTGAGTTGTTGAGTTAGTTTTCATTCAGTTAGGCTTTAGTTCATTTGCATATAACCCCAAGAAAGAATCCGGGGGCGTTCACCATCTATCTGGCTGGTAGATAGGTGTCCGTTACACTGTAAACTGACAGTAGGAGGGACCATAGGTGTCATTTAGATCTTAGTAATAGATGTATTGGTGTACTCTGTGTTGTTTATATCTATTTGCTAGTCAAATGATATACAATTATAATTACGACAATTAGGGGTTGAGTTCTAAAATTGTATAACCTGACAGAAGATGTTTATGGTGGTGTCAAGAAATGGCTGTTAAGTTCCAAAATACACTTACCACAGATATAGCTAATTTATTGGGACAATCCATAACTAAACCATTTAAAAATTGTTAATTTTAATCTTCTATGCGTGAGATGTTTTTTTAAACTCGAACAGGAGTTGTTTCATTTAAGAATTTTCTCTTCTAGAAGGTTGCTTTCTCTGGTTATCGGGCCTCATCTGGTATAGGGATTAAACTCAGGACTGTAGAGTGAGCAATAATGAGCTCTCTTACCTGAACACGGGGATAATGACGTCAAAGTGTGACGTCATAAACCAGACAAAGGTGATTTATATTTGCAGCAAAGCTTAACTAGACCCATGTGTGGAGTACACTAAAGAGGGAAGGTCAGAGCTATTTCAAAGATTGTACACATTTGGCTGAACAGTTTATTTTCAATTTAAGCTGGGGTATTTGTTTTTATTGTTTTTATTGAGATCTGTATCAAATACAAGTAAAGGTTAACGTGAAAGATCTACGTAACCGTCATGAGAGATATTTGATAAGTAAAATGTCAGCGTTCGTGGTTTAGTTTTCGTATAGAAAATGTCTTGAAAAAAAAGATGAACTGTGTGTATGTGTGTGTGTGTGAGTGAGTGTGGCGAAAGTAGGGTTGGGAAAATCACGTAGGTTTTAGTTTTGTTTTAGTGAAGCCACAGACCAGAAAATTGCATTGAACACTAAAGGGAAATACACATTTTTATAAATATAGCTTGCTACAACTTTATTAGAAGCCCGTGATACTGAAATGTGTAGCAGACAATGTTTGACGGTTTGGTCAACTAACTGCTCTAATTGTAAAGCTGTGTAGAATTCACTCACAGACAGTAACATGGGAAATTAATATACTTACACACGCGGGATATAATAGATCTTTTACTGTCAAACACAATGAAATAAACGAAAAACCAACGTCCGCGATCAAATGTGTTATATGTAAAAGATCCCTTACATGTGGATGTTCTCTATCTAAAAAACACCCTTTGCGGCTAAATTTAAGTAATTCTGTTTTATTTGTTTTTTAAATAATGATTTTGCAATAATTCAGTATGTTAAAAATTCATGGACAATTTATATAGTTTAGTCATACATGTTTTGCAGTTTTGAACAGAATAATACAAAATAGTGTTTCATAATTTGCCGAAGAAATTATTTACCAAGAAAATGTAACATATTGCATTTAATAAAATGACTTAAAGTGAACTGCGCCTTAGTTTGTTGTTGCTTGTAGACTGCTTGATTAGTGCAGAACATCAAAACACAATTAGACGAAATATTGAAAGTGTAAGGCCCTACCAATCATATTTGATACGAATCCAAACTAGCTGGTCTATGTTCAACTTATTCTATTTTATTGATTTGTAAAGACAAATATTGAAATACACCGACAGAGAAAACAGCCCTTCCTAACTTATGCTACACTCACTGCCCAAAATAGACTATGTAGTTTACATTGTACAGATAACGTTTGTATGCGTGTATGTGTCAATATGTCACGTCTCCGCCACGACTCAGAAAAAAAGTATTAAACAATTATTTTCTTCTTTAAGTAGTTGCATATTGGCACGTGTTCTCGGATGAGTGCCGATTGTGAACGCTTTTGCCTTATATTTATTTAAAAAAATATGTTTTTTGTTATTGGCTAATTCAATTTAGTACTAGCACAAATTTATAGTTTAAATGTGTTATTTAATTATATACAACATCTTCTTCATTTTATGTGTTAGCAATTCGAAAAATGTTGTCCTATATATCAACAACTAGTTTGTTTGTTTGTTTGTTTGTTTTTTCTTCAGAATTCAAGAACACATTTTTTTCTGTCATATTTTAAAAAAAAAATATATGTAAGAAAAGCGTGGATGTCTTCATAATTATTAGAAAAGATATCCCGTAGATAATATAGTGGCCCTCGCTTTTCTTTATATTTATTCAAATAGTAGTGTATTATTATATATTTAAAGAGCATAACTTATGTTCCACTTTTTAGTGCATTATTACATAAAAATGTGCTTTAAAAAGTTTTTTATGAATTTGTTTTTAATAAATTAAATTTGTATTTTTTCTTTTGATAAATGTTGGGTCGGAATTTCTTGAAGTTATAATATGCAATTGGCATTATTAATTAAAGCTATAGAGCTAAAAATGTGTGTCAGTCAACTGGGATTAAATAATTGTATTTGTTGTACGATAGGATTCGGACAAGTAATATACACAATTTTATGTAAAAATTGGTAAAAAATATAATGATACAAAATGACGAGTCAATATACATGGCTTTTAGGTTTCATTGAGTTGAATAATCTTAAACGTAGGCTGTTTCCTGCTTAACCCGTATTTTTAGTGATACTTAGAATTTAAAACTTATAAAAATACATTTGTGAGCAGTGGCTGTTAGACATTTAAGACCAGATTAACATTAGTTTTTCGATCAGACAAATGCTAATTAAATCAACAACACTAAGAACTTACATCCGCTATAGTGAAATAACGTAATAGTAAGTGGATACTAAAATGTAATACACCTATTAATGCCATCGAAAAAAGCAACGTTTTCGTAGTAAATTATTAGATATGGTATCACTCCCCACCTCGGTCGTTGATTGACTTATCAGAAAAAATTCAAACGTAACTTTTTCTCTGTGTAAATTTTGCAGTTGGTGT